AAGATTTGTCAGATGTGGGTACAGAAGTTTTCAGCCCAGACAATAAGACGCACACTGCGTAATGAAGGCCTCCGTGCCAGAACTCCCAGGCGTACCCCCTTGCTGTCTCCAAAGAATAAGAAGAGTCACTGCAGTATGCCAAAAGCCATGTGGACAAACCACAAAAGTTGTGGGATAGTGTTCTGTGGACTGATGAAACAAAATTAGAACTGTTTGGGCCCATGGATCAACGCTATGTTTGGAGGAGGAAGAACAAGGCCTATGATGAAAAGAACACCTTGCCTACTGTGAAGCATGGTGGAGGGTCAATCATGCTTTGGGCTGTTTTGCTTCTGCAGGTACAGGGAAGCTTCAGCGTGTGCAAGGTACCATGAATTCTCTTCAGTACCAGGAGATATTGGATGGAAACGTGATGCAGTCCGTCACACACCTGAGGCTTGGGAGACGTTGGACCTTTCAACAGGACAATGATCCCAAGCATACCTCCAAGTCCACTAGAGCATGGTTGCAGAGGAAAGGCTGGAACATTTTGGAGTGGCCATCGCAGTCACCAGACTTAAATCCGATTGAGAACCTCTGGTGGGACTTAAAGAAAGCAGTTGCAGTGCGCAAGCCTAAGAATGTGACTGAACTGGAGGCCTTTGCCCATGAAGAATGGGCGAAGATACCCGTAGATCGCTGCAAGACACTTGTGTCAAGCTATGCTTCACGTTTAAAAGCTGTTATAACTGTAAAAGGATGCTGTACTAAGTACTAAGATTGAATTCACTTTGGGGGTTGAATAAAACTGATAATGCTGTGAGCACAGAAAAGACTGGTTATTTCATTATAACTGTTATGTTAATTTGTCTGACCTACAACCTCTTTAATGTAAATGTAAGCAAGATGACTGAATGATCAAAAGCAATGTCAAACTGGCCAAAACACTCAATTTCAGTGGGGGTTGAATAATTTTGGACACAACTGTATATTTATTTGTTGCTATCTGTCTCTCATTAGTAAGGCTTAACTTCATGTAACTTCAAGTAAGAGGTAATCTCTTTATCACTTTTTCTCCATTGAGGAGTGGGAGTATTTTGAAGGACACAGAGATCTCTACAAGGACGCCATGATGGACAATCAGCCGCCCCTCACATCACCGGGTAAGAGGAGACTTTATTGTAAAGGAGAGAGCAGTACGGAGGGTCCACCTAGATCCCCCATCATCTGATAAACACATAGAAACAATGGATTCAGTCAGTGTCTGTGTTTCCTACAGATGGATCCAGTAATGGGAACCCACCAGAGAGATGTCCCCGTCCTCTGTATTCCCGGGATTCCACACAGGAAGGTCACATCATCCCTCACCATCATCAGTTAGATGGATCCAATAATGGAAACCCACCAGAGACATGTCCCTGTCCTCTGTATTCTTGGGATTCCACACAGGAAGGTCACATCATCCCTCACCATCATCAGGTAGATGGATCCAGTAATGGGAACCCACCAGAGAGATGTCCCCGTCCTCTGTATTTCCGGGATTCCACACAGGAAGATCACACCATCCCTCACCATCATCAGGTAGGTGGGCCTGAGCAACTGGAACTCAAAAAATGTTTCCAAACTATAAGATTAAATTTTTCAATGTAATCTCTAGTTGTCTGCAGTAACTTTTTTTTTAGAAGTTAAATTGTATCATCTCTAGGGTGGAAAATTGAAAGTCCTCAAAGTTGAAGAGGAAGAAAGGGGGATGCTAATCAGTGGAGATCAGCAGTCTATGGAGAAAGATGGTCCTCTGTATTCCCGGGATTCCATACAACAAGATCACAAATCCACTCACCATGATCAGGTAGACAGGACTGAGAAGTACAATTCAAAAATAATTTTTAAACTGTGAGGAACCTTGCCATGTAATTTCTTCTTATTTGTAATCACTTTTTCCCGATGTTATCATCTTTTGGGGTTTTAGGGTGAGAAATGGAAAGACGTCAAAGAGGAAGAAGAAGAGAGGTTGGTGAGTGGAGATCAGCAGTCTATGGAGGAGGGGGAGATGATTATGGAAAGTAAACCGGAGGAATCTTCTCTACATACGGACACAAGTGAGTCATAATCTTCATATTTTCCCTTTTACTTTTAATTTTTTTTGCATACGATTTTAAATACACATTTTAGGCCTGAGGATTAGTTATATCCCCAATCCTATAAAAGCCCTGAAGAATAAAATGGTGGCCCTGGTGGTTGATTGCTCCTGCCTGCCTTACATAGTTAAGAAAGCCATACGTGGGTCGAACTCTGAACGATTTTTTGATTGAAAACGTTGTCCATTCTGTAATCTGGTGCCACCAATGATTTCGAAAATCGGTCGTTTTTTTCGTGAATTTTGCAACATGCCTAATAAACGAAATGGACCACGAAAATCGGCCGGTGCCATTGCCCCACTAACAGAGCGAAAATCGGTCGGTTATTCTTGGGTCTGATTTTGACCCATGTATGGCCGGCCTTACATACACACTATAGTGCCAAAAGTATTGGGCCCTTGTATATATGGAATGTCAGCGAGCGCTGTGAGTGTGCAGAAAGGTATAAGCTGCTGGCACTAAAGGACCGCCCTTGGTATCCTCACTAGTGAATGAAATATAAAAGGTGCAGCGCTAACTTGGGCCCGCCCTCCAAATCATGTGATTCAGGTGTGCCAATCCCCTCCATCTCATGTGATTCAGGTGTTCCAATCCCCTCCATCTCATGTAATTCAGGTGTTCCAATCCCCTCCAAATCATGTGATTCAGGTGTTCCAATCCCCTCCATATCATGTGATTCAGGTGTTCCATTCCCCTCCATATCATGTGATTCAGGTGTTCCAATCCCCTCCATATCATGTGATCCAATCCCCTCCATGGACACAGGTGTATACAATCAAGCCCCTAGGCATGCAGACTGCTTCTACAAACATTGTGAAAGAATGGGTTGCTATCAGGAGCTCAGTGACTCCAAGCGTGGTCCTGTGATAGGTGGTCAAATGTGCAATAAGTCCATCCGGGACATTTCCTGGCTACTAAATATTCCACGCTCAACTGTTAGTGGGATTATAACAAAGTGGAAGCAACTGGGAACAACAGCCACTCAGCCACCAAGTGGTAGGCCACGTCACGACAGGGTGGGGTCAGCACATGCTGAAGTGCACAGTGCGCAGAAAGTTGCCAACTGTCTGCAGAGTCAATAGCTAAAGACCTCCAAACTTGGTGTGGCCTTCAGATGAGCCCAACAACAGTGCGTAGAGAGCTTCATGGAATGGGTTTCCATGGCCGAGCAGCTGCATCCAAGCCTTCCATCACCAAGTGCAATGCAAAGCGTCGGATGCTGTGGTGTAAAGCACGCCCCCACTGGACTCTAGAGCAGTGGAGCCGTGTTCTCTGGAGTGACCAATGACGCTTCTCTGTCTGGCAATCCGATGGACGTGTCTGGGTTTGGCGGTGGCCAGGAAAACGGGACTTGCCTGACTGCATTGTGCCAAGTGTAAAGTTTGGTGGAGGGAGGATTATGGTGTGGGGGTTTTTTCAGGGGTTGGGCTTGGCCCCTTAGTTCCAGTGAAGGGAACTCTTAAGGTGACATTTTGTACAATTTCATGCTCCCAACTTTGTGAGAAGAGTTTGGGGACCTCCAAACTTGGTGTGGCCTTCTTTGAGGAAAAAAGCCTGAAATAGAGTACAGATTTGATGCTCAGTATGTACGTCTTTTGATTAGGTTACAATTTGGGAGGAAGAGACCGGGCAGAGTTATCTAGCATTCAAAATTATAGTCTATATTTTTTGAGACAAAAGCCAAAAAATAGAGTACGAACGCGATAGAAAAAAATATTTAGGGTAGCCTACGCTTTAACATTAACCACTTCCAGTCTGGACACTCCCCCCCCCCCCTTCCTGCCCAAGCCAGCTTTCAGAGCTATCACACTTTGAATGAAAATTGCACGGTCATGCAATACTGTACCCCCATATGAAATTTTTAGCACTTCTTTGAGACAGATAAAACTTTATTTTGGTGGTCTTTATTCACCACTGGGGATTTTTTTTTTCTATATGAATGAAAAAGTCCAAACATTTTGAATAAAAAAGTGTTTTTCTTATAAAACTTTGCAAATAAACAATCTTTCTTCATACATCTTGGCCAAAATGTATTCATCTATCTTTTTAGAAAAAAAAAAAAAAAAACCCAAATTAATTTATAACCAAAAATGATAATTTTTCAAAAACACATTATATATAATTTTTTCTTTTTTTAGCATACTGTCCATAGTGACACTGTACTACTTGTGGGGGGTGTTGAAGATTTTTTTTTTTTCTTTTTTTACACTGATTTCTTTTACACCCATAAAGGCTGTAAAGGGGAATCATTTCTCCTTCTCTCTGGCTGCATTCCTGCAGCCATTAAGAAATACTGTGAGAGCTGTGATTGGTCACAGCTTGTCACATGGTACAAGCCTGTTGTGAATAGCCCAGTACCATGTGATCTCTGTGATCATTCACAGATTTCACACGTAGTAAGCAATGATGTCAGGAAGTGACATCTTGCTTCCTACTATTCATGTGTCCAATCAGTGATCACATGATCGGGACCTCGCACAGAGGTCCTGTACAGCAATTGGTGTTCCGCTGTGTCCGGAGGGAGCGCACAGGCAGGGAATGCGGGAGGACGTTTGTAAACGGCTACCCGCTCCAGCACTGCTCCCGTCTGTCGTTTATGTACATGGGTCGGACGGGAAGTGGTTAAAGAGTTTTCAGATCATCTCTGTGATTTTGGAGGTTGAACAGGAGCCTGCTGATGGGGAGGTAATAATTATTTGTGAATTCTGACATTTCTTCCATTTCTCTCCATCAGATGGCGCCGATGTCAGGAATTCCTCAGAGAGAAGTCTTCTATTATCTGCTGATTGGAAGTCAGAAGATAATGCCATCACACAGGATTCTCCAGGAGTGAATCCAAATACACCCAATATCCATCACAGACCTTCCTGTCCGGAGACATCAATGGATCCCTCTGATCACGGGGAATCTTCTGACCAATCACATACTAGGAGTGCAAATGTCCATTTAGGATCTCACACTGCAGAGAGATCAACAGATCCATCTAATCCCAAGGAATCTTCCGCACCCCATGAAGGAGCTCACCGAGGGCAGAATCTATTCCTATGTTCAGAGTGCGGGAAATGTTTCACTCAGAAGGGAGCGCTTACTAGACACAAGAGAATTCACACGAATGAGCGTACTTTTTCTTGTTCAGAGTGCGGGAAATGTTTTAATCAGCGATGGCACTTTCTTAGACACCAGACAATTCACACAGGTGAGTGCCCCCATTCATGTACAGAGTGCGGGAAATCTTTCAGTTATAAAGGAGACCTTGTTTTACACCAGAGAATTCACACTGGTGAGCGTCCTTATTCATGTTCAGAGTGTGGGAAATCTTTCATTCGGAAAGCACACCTTGATAAACACCTGAGGACTCACACGGGCGACCGTCCCTATTCATGTTCGGAGTGCTGGAAATCTTTCTATGAGAAAGGAGACCTTGTTGGACACCAGAGAATTCACACGGGTGAGCAACCTTATTCGTGTTCAGACTGCGGGAAATCTTTTACTATGAAAGGAAACCTTGTGAAACATCAGAGGATTCACTCAAGTGAGCATCCCTCTTCCTGTCCAGTGCTCGAGAAATCTTTCACTCAGAAAGGAGATCTTTTTGAACGCAAGAGAACTCACACAGGCGAGCGTCCCTATTCATGTTCAGAGTGCTGGAAATCTTTTACTCGGAAAGGACACCTTGATAAACACCTGATGATTCACACGGGCGAGCGTCCCTATTCATGTTCGGAGTGCAGGAAATCTTTTACTCGGAAAGGACACCTTGATAAACACCTGATGATTCACACGGGCGAGCGTCCCTATTCATGCTCGGAGTGTGGGAAATCTTTCAATCAGAAAGAACACCTTGATAAACATCTGAGATTGCACAAGGGCACGCGTCCCCATTTATATATAGAGTGCGGGAAATCTTTCACTCAGAAAGTTGACCTTGATAAACACCTGAGAATCCACATGGGCAAGCCTCCTTATTCGTGTTCGGAGTGTGGGAAATCTTTCACTCAGAAAGGACACCTTGATGAACACCAGAGAAATCACGTGGGTGAGCATTCATGTTCAGAGTGCGGGAAATGTTTCACTAAGAAAACAAGCCTTGTTAGACACGGGTGAGCCTCCTTTATTCATGTTTAAAGTGCACAGAGGGGAGCACCTTGTTGAACGTCAAAGAATTTGCATAGGTTAGCGTCCTTGTTCATGTACAGAGTGTGCAGTTTCACTACACACGGCACAGTGTTCTCCATGTGTACAGGAAATGTTTTACAGATATAGGAAGTCTGATTGGACATCAGAGGAAAAGTGTAGGAAGAAAATATTTCACTCCTAAAGTGGTGCATCCAGGCAAAACGCGATGGGGGGAGTTTAAAAGGATGGATTTTCCCAAGGCTTCTTGTATTTTTTTGGAGTCTCCAATGGTGTGGCGCCAGATATGATTTCTGCCCCCACTTTGCGGTATCCCCGTTCCTCATTTTTTACCTTTTGCACACTTTAAAATAAAAAATACAGCACAGAGTAGTAGCCCCTCATGATAGAATACAGGGGTACGCACAGAAATAAATATACCAGGGAACAATTATAAATCCATGAGACTCAGAGTACATTGGGGGCGGAGTGAAAATATTTGAGTTTTTAGGGTGGTGGTGTGATAATTATATACCCATAAGGATTAAATGATAGTAATATGGTCCCCATATGAAACATATGCATATAAAAAGCTGTTTATGCACTCTTAATTGGAGAAACCCAAAGCCAGAAATACAGTACAGATTCAAAGACCACTTTGTAAGCCTTTTGACTAGGCTTCAATTTCAGAGGGAGAGAGCGGGCAGGTGTTATCCAGAAATAAAAATTATGGTGTGCACTTTATTTTCTGAGACAAAAGCCACAGACTCAATGCTCAGTATGTACATCTTTTTGACCAGGCTGCAATTTCAGAGGGAAAGACCGGGCAGGTGTTATCCAGAAATAAAAAGGATGGTGTGCATTTTATTTTCTGACACAAAAGCCTGAAGTAGAGCACAGATTAAAAGACCACTATGTAAGCCTTTTGACTAGGCTACAATTTCAGAGGGAAAGATCAGGCAGGTGTTATCCAGAAATAAAAATGATGTGCATTTTATTTTCTGAGACAAAAGCCACAGATTCAGTGCTCAGTATGTACGCCTTTTTGACTAGGCTGCAATTTCAGAGGGAAAGACTGGACAGGTGTTATCTAAAAATAAACATGATGACGTGCATTTTATTTTCTGAGACTAAAGCCAGAAGTAGAGCACAGATTCAATCCTCAGTATGTACACCTTTTTGACTAGGCTGCAATTTCAGAGGGAGAGAGCGGACAGGTGTTATCCAGATATAAAAATGAAGATGTGCATTTTATTTTCTGAGACAAAAGCCACAGATTCAATGCTTAGTATGTACGCCTTTTTGACTAGGTTGCAGTTTCAGGGGGAGAGACCGGGCAGATGTTATCTAGAAATAAAAATGATGGTGTGCACTTTATTTTCTGAGATAAAAGCCACAGATTCAATGCTCAGTATGTACGTCTTTTTTTGACTAGGTTGCAATTTCAGAGCTCCCTCTTATTTCTGGATAACACCTGCCCGGTCTCTCCCTCCGAAATTGCAGTCTAGTCAAAAAGGAGTACATACTGAGCATTGAATCTGTGGCTTTTGTCTCAGACAGAAATAAAATGCACACCATCATTTTTATTTCTGGATAACACCTGCCCGGTCTCCCCCTCTGAAATTGCAGTCTAGTCAAAAAGGAGTACATACTGAGCATTGAATCTGTGGCTTTTGTCTCAGACAGAAATAAAAATGATGGTGTGCATTTTATTTTCTAAGACAAAAGCCACAGATTCAATGCTCAGTATGTACTCCTTTTTGACTAGACTGCAATTTCAGAGGGGGAGACCAGGCAGGTGTTATCCAGAGATAAAAATTATGGTGTGCATTTTATTTTCTGAGACAAAAGCCTGAAGTAGAGCACAGATTCAATGCTCAGTATGTATGCCTTGTGACTAGGCTGTAATTTCAGAGGGAGATACCGGGCAGGTGTTATCCAGAAAAAAAAAAATGATGATGTGGATTTTATTTTCTGAGACAAAAGCCACAGACTCAATGCTCAGTTTGTACGTCTTTTTGACTAGGCTGCAATTTCAGGGGGGAGACCAGGCAGGTGTTATCCAGATATAAAAATGATGATGTGCATTTTATTTTCTGAGACTAAAGCCTGAAGTAGAGCACAGATTAAAAGACCACTATGTAAGCCTTTTGACTAGGCTGCAATTTCAGAGGGAGAGACCGGGCAGGTGTTATCCAGAAATAAAAATCATGGTGTGCACTTTATTTTCTGAGACAAAAGCCACAGATTCAATGCTCAGTATGCACACCTTTTTGACTAGGTTGCAATTTCAGAGGGAGAGATCAGGCATTTGCAGTACTTAGTCATAGCTATTTAAAGTAGTTGTGAACAATGTTGTAGACACTTTATAAGGTGGTTATAAATATGCAGGTATCAAAACTGTTTTGCTTACTTGTTGTCTTACCTTTTTAACAAGGTTAAAAAGTTGTCATGTGACCATGCATCCCTTCTTTCAGATAAAGGGTCACGGGAGGGTTACAGGAAACTGTGTTGTGTCTGTGTCCCATAGTCTCTTCAGCCTGAGGCAAGATGCAGGGTGTGTGTTCAAGAGGCAGGCTGTGATTGGTAGGAGATGTGTGTTAGAGATACATAGTTAGACTGGCTGAAAAAAGACAAATGTTCATCCAGTTCAACCATTAAAAAAAAAAATTAAAAAATTATAATCCTACACCCACAGATGATCCAGAGGAAGGCAAAAACACCCGGCAAAGCATGATCCAATTTGCTCCTGCAGGGGAAAAAACTCCTTCCTGATCCCCCCCGAGAGGCAATCGGATATTCCCTGGATCACCTTTTCCTATAAATATTATATCCAGTTATATTCTGTGTATCCAAGAAAGAATCCAGGACTTTCCTACAGCAATCCACTGAGCTGGCAACAACCAACTCTTGAGGGAGTCTGGTACAGATTCTCACAGCTCTTACTGCGAAGAAATCTTTCTGTGTTTTGGAGATTACATTTCTTTTCCTCCAGCCTGTGATGCGGTAAGGGGCTGAACACACTGCCCAAATACAGGCATGCTGTGTGTCTGCACCACCGAATGGCCAGCTAAAGGATTTAAAAACTGACCACGCAAACGCAGATCATCTTCTTTGCTTTGTGTGGTCAGTTTAGAAAGGTGACTCGTGGGATCAACCAGGTACTTGAGATGGAAGACGTTCGTGAACATGATAGACACTGATTTATGTACTGATTGATTTATAGAATACCTGTATGTGAACACACATTGAAAAAAAAAAATATATATAAGGTAACATACACAACGACGTTATAGAATTGGCAGATCATCTACAGTATGGACTCAGCAAAAACACTTTTCTGACTGATTTTGGAGCCCAGCTGTGAGATCAGTGGTTCTACCTATTCCACTGACTGGGGGGGAGGAGCTAAAATTCTGGTTATTCGTGAACTTCATTTTTTACTTTTTATTTTTTTTCCATTTTTTTCCATCAGATGACGCTGATGTCAGGAATTCCTCGAAAAGACGTCTTCTATTATCTGCTGATTGGAAGTCAGAAGATAATGCCATCACAAAGGATTCTCCAGGAGTGAATCCAAATACACCAAATATCCATCACAGACCTTCCTGTCCAGAGACATCAATGGTTCCCTCTGATCAGGGGGAATCTTCTGACCAAGCACATACTAGGAGTGCAAATGTCCATTTAGGATCTCACACTGCAGATAGATCAACAGATCCATCTAATCCCGAGGAATCTTCTGCACCCCATGAAGGAGCTCAACGAGGGGACAATCTATTCTTATGTTCAGAGTGCGGGAAATGTTTTGCTCAGAAAGGAAACCTTGTTACACACCAGAAAATTCACACGGGTGTGCGCCCCTATTCATGTTCAGAGTGCGGGAGATCTTTCGCTCGTAAAGGAGACCTTGTTAAACACCGGAGAACTCACACTGGTGAGCGTCCTTATTCATGTTCAGAGTGCGGGAAATCTTTTACTCGGAGAGGAAACCTTGTGAAACACCAGAAGAGTCACACAGGTGAGCTTTCCTATTTATGTACAGAGCTCAAGAAAGGAGACCTTGATGGACATCAGAGAATTCACACGGGTGAGCGTCTCTATTCATGTTCAGAGTGTGGGAAATCTTTCCATCACAAACAACACTTTGATAAACACCTGAGAATTCACACGGGTGAGCGTCCCTACACGTGTTCAGAGTGCGGGAAATCTTTCACTGAGAAAGGAACCCTCAATCAACACATGAGAATTCACACGGGTGAGCGTCCTTATTTGTGTTTAGAGTGCGGGAAATCTTTCTCTCACAAACATGTACTTCTTCGACACCATAGAGTTCACACGGGTGAGCGTCCTTATTCATGTTCAGAGTGTGGGAGATCTTTCATTCAGAAAGACAAGCTTGATACACACCAGAGAAGTCATACGGGTGTGCGTCCTTATCCATGTATTGAGTGCGGGAAATCTTACTCACGGAAAGTTCACCTAATTGAACACCAGAGAATTCACGTGTGTTAGCTTGCTTGTTCATGTACTGGAGTGCGGGAAATTGTGCACACTGAAAGATCACCTAATTGAACACCAGAGAATTCACGTGTGTTAGCTTCCTTCTTCATGTACTGAGTGCGGGAAATCTTACTCACGGAAAGTTCACCTAATTGAACACCAGAGAATTCACGTGTGTTAGCTTGCTTGTTCATGTACTGGAGTGCGGGAAATTTTTCACATGGAAAGATCACCTAATTGAACACCAGAGAATTCATGTGTGTTAGCTTTCTTGTTCATGTACTGAGTGCGGAAAATCTTACTCACGGAAAGATCACCTAATTGAACACCAGAGAATTCACGTGTGTTAGCTTCCTTGTTCATGTACTGGAGTGCGGGAAATTTTACTCACGGAAAGATCACCTAATTGAACACCAGAGAATTCACGTGTGTTAGCTTCCTTGTTCATGTACTGGAGTGCGGGAAATTTTTCACATGGAAAGATCACCTAATTGAACACCAGAGAATTCACGTGTGTTAGCTTCCTTGTTCATGTACTGAGTGCGGAAAATCTTACTCACGGAAAGATCACCTAATTGAACACCAGAGAATTCACATGTGTTAGCTTCCTTGCTCATGTACTGGAGTGCGGGAAATCTTGCACACGGAAAGATCACCTTATTGAACACCAGAGAATTCACGTGTGTTAGCTTCCTTGTTCATGTACTGAGTGCGGGAAATGTTTTTACTCTGAAGGGAAACCTTTATGTAGGAAGAATATATGTAGTTTCTAGTATGGGTAAATCCCTGCAAAAGTGATCTTAAATTTCTAGAGTTTGATTGGATGAGTCTTCTCCTGGCTTCTTGTATTTCTTGGAGTCTCCAGTGGTGGGAGGGGCCTGCTACAGTTTCTGTCCCCCACTCTGTTGTAGTCCAGTTGCTCGGATTTCATTTTGCATACAACACAGCAGAGAGTGGTAGCTCCTCATAATAGGTTGGGTACACAAAGATGGAAGTGTAGCACGCTCCTAGTTTAGGGAGAGTTAGACCCTGATGGCTAGTGAGGAGCTGATTAGCAGCTCAGGGGAGATAGTCAGAAGGGTCAAATTCTGGTCAGGACTGAGAGACTCTACAGGCCAGCCTCTCATGAATTTCCCCCTGCTCTGAGGCTCCCCCACTTTTAAGGGAGCCCCTTGCCAAGCCTTCTGTTGGTGATTGGCTGAGGTCCCCAAGAATGTAGCCAATCACTCCTGTTCCCCATGACTCTCCTGTTACTAAGAGGCTCCTCCACTTTTAAGGAAGCCCCATCCCCTTGCCAAGCCTTCTGCTGGGGATTGGGCTGAGGTCCCCCAAGAATGTAGCCAATCTCTCCTCTTCCCCCCCCGACTCTTCTGTTACTTAGCAGGTTCCTCCACTTCTAAGGGAGCCCTAGCCCCTTGCCAAGCCTCCTGTTGGGGATTGGCTGACGTCCCCCAAGAATGTAGCCAATCACCAACAGAAAGCTTGCAAGGGGATGGGGCTCCCTTAAATGTGGAGGAGCCTGCTTAGTAACAGGAGAGTCGATGGGTAAAGAAGGTGAGAGGATGATCTGAGTTTGAGATGGAAGGCTGCTAGGAGGCGTGGTGGTCTGTCTACAAGTCTGGAGCTGGAAAGGAGCAAAACTCAGGACTCGCTGCCTCCCTAAGAGAGGAGCACCTGTATGGCAGGGAAAGAGCAGCCCAACTGGTAGGCCTGGTAGCACCATCCATTTTGCAAGCGGAACAGGAGAGGATCTGAGTGAGTACACCTGCACCCCCTTGGTGGATAGGGGAAGGAGCACTCTGGTGGGAAACCAGATTAGTCCTTTGCTAGTGACTGTTACCCATTGAAAGGAACAGGAGCCGGATCCCCTGCTCAGGAAGAAAGTCTCCAGATTGCTGGGTGAAGAGGACTTCATCTGGGGTCTGGGGTGGTACAACTAGGAGCTGCTGGCTATCACTCCACCATAGACTGTTGGAGAAGAGAAGCTGTAAATAGTTCAGGAAGTTGTCCTCAGATTTCGGTTTCCTTGGGTGCCCTCTACACCCCTTACCCCATTCAAGTTTAATCCCCTCAATAAAATAACAAAACCAACGATCAAGGCCTGATTTTTTTCTTTTGTGGATGAAAGCTGGTGTGGAAAATGCTAACAGACTGGCTGTGCAAAGAAATAGGACACTTCAATCTTCCTGCACTTGGGGAGTGGGCCCAGGGGTGTTAATGGGCCATCATGGGGTGCACTTACCTTGCTGCCCTCACAAGACTGGGGAGGTCTAGGAACACTGCAGGAATGAGAACCAAACAGAGGGCGCACCGGCCAAGTGCGTTGACCCCCTAGTTCCAGTGAAGGGAACTCTTAAGGTGACATTTTGGACAATTTCATGCTCCCAACTTTGGGGGAAGAGTTTGGGGACCTCCAAACTTGGTGTGGCCTTCTCTGAGAAAAAAAAGCCTGAAATAGAGTACAGATTTGATGCTCAGTATGTACGTCTTTTGATTAGGTTACAATTTGGGAGGAAGAGACCAGGCAGAGTTATCTAGCAATCAAAATTATAGTCTATTTTTTGAGACAAAAGCCAAAAATAGAGTAGGAACGCGATAGTAAAAATAAATTTGGGTAGCATACACTTTAACATTAACCACTTCCAGTCCGGACACTTCCCCCCCCTTCCAGTCCGAACACTTTCCCCCCCTTCCAGTCCAGGCCAATTTTCAGCTTTCAACGCTATCACACTTTGAATGACAATTGCGTGGTCATGCAACACTGTACCCATATGAATTTTCTAGCATTTTTTTTAGACCGATAAAACTTTATTTTGGTGGTATTTATTCACCACTGAGGATTGTTTTTTTTTTTTTTGCTATGTAAATGAAAAAGTCAAAAATTTTTGAAAAAAAGTGTGTTTTTCTTATAACATTTTTCAAATAAATAATCTTTCTGCATAAATCTTGGCCAAAATGTATTCAGTTATCCTTTTCGTAAAAAAAAAAAAAATTAGTTTGTAACCAAAAATTATAATTTTTCAAAACTTTTTTTTACATTTTTATTTTATTTTTTTATATTATTATTTATGTTTTTTTTTTTAGTGACACTGTTCTACTTGTGGGGGGTTATGAAGATTTTTTTTTTTTACACTGATTGCATTTACAGCCTTTATGGGTGTAAAAGCAATCATTTCTCCTTTTGCAGCCATTGAGAACTACTGTGTGAGCTGTGATTGGTCACAGCTTGTCACATGGTACAAGGCTGTTGTGAATGGCCCTGTACCATGTGTAAGCAATGATGTCAGGAAGTGAAATCTTGCTTACTACTCTTCATGTGATCACTGATTGACCAATCAGTGATCACATGATCGGGAGCTCACGGTGGTGCACGCTCCCGGGGAGCGTGCACAGTCCAAAATGTTTATGAACGGCAACCCGCCCCTGCACTGCCACTATCCGTCCGTTTATATACATGGGCTGGATGGGAAGTGGTTAACAATAATGAGAATATATGGGGCCAAAAATCAGTAATTGCAACAATACAGGACAACTGTATTAATACAGAGGACAAAATGAGCAATGTGTGTGTGTATAGTTGGAAGCTTGCTAGACGCCTGGGTGTGAGTCAGCCTGGAAGTGAGTTAGCAAGATTACTTCAGGTTAGAGCTGGAGGACTCTACAGATCAACCCTCTGGTACCTCCCCCTGTTCTAAAGACCTGGAGAAGTTTCTAAAAGCCAGTAGGCGGGGGGTGATCTGCATACTTAGGAGAATCCGGCCAATCCCCAGACAGGAAGCCTGGCATGATGGCTAGGTCAGCCCTTAAATATGACAGCCTGGTCAGTGGGGGATGTCAGATGGAGTGAGAAGTGTTGCTGGTGTGGAGCCTGGGGGGGGGGGCCCAAAGGGGTTTGTCTACAGACTAGAAGCTGAAAAGAGGGACCTCCACTGTTGCATAGTCTGCAGGGAAGGACAGCCTGTTAGGAGGGGAAGATGCCAGCCTAACATAGGGCCTGAAAGCAGCTTCACCTTTACAACTAAAAGGAACAGGACAGTGTGAGTACCTCTATACCCCCTAGGCCTACAAGGGAGAGGGTGGTCAGGTGCCATACCCAACTAGTTCTTCCTGGGACAGCATTTCTTTGTGTCTCGGAATCCCCTGCCCTGGGATACTCTCATGACATCCAGGCAGATGAGGAGATTTTCATGTGGGGTCGGACAGCTCTCCACCATCCACACTACATTCTCTGACAGCGCTCCCCCCCCACCATCCACACTACATTCTCTGATAGCTCTCCCCCTCCCCATCCACACTACATTCTCTGACAGCTCTCCTCCCACCATCCACACTACATTCTCTGACAGCTCTTCCCCCCCACCATCCACACTACATTCTCTGACAGCTCTCCCCCCCCCACCATCCACACTACATTCTCTAACAGCTCTCCTCCCCACCATCCACACTACATTCTCTGACAGCTCTCCTCCAAACTACATTCTCTGACAGCTCTCCTCCCCCACCATCCACACTACATTC